TATTTCATTCAAGCTAGAATTTGAATGTGGAAAAACCCTCTCACTCTGCCATCCAATCCCTCTTTGGTCTGACATCATCTTTGCACCAATAGCATAATGAACTGTTTGGCAAAGGGTCATCCCAATCTCACATGCTAGACAGGAACCTAACATTGGGATCACATGTATTCTGAGGGCACAGAAGAAAGGATCAAGATTCAGTGTTCAGATAGACGAGGCAGACATACTGTTCAAGTTTACCAATGGGTCTGGGCAGGGCTTTTTTCCAGCCAGAACTCAGTTCCGGCACTTCTCAGATGGGTGCCATTGCCATTCTAAGAGAACAAGGGAGGTGTTCATGGTGAATTCCAGCACCTCTTTTTTTAGAAAAATAGCACTGGGTCCGGGTATCAAACTGTTCAATACAGGGTGTGTTGAAACTAAGGTCATACAATCTACAATAGAAAAATATACTTCTGCCAAAGAACCCTGGAAATTGTAGTATGATGATCTCTAAGAAAAGAGGTTAAGGCTGGATCCTACCCCTATGCCTGGCGTGCTCTGGCCCATGGGGTCACAAAGAGTTGGACATGACTAAACGACTAAACAACAACAACAACACAAGCCCCACTGAATTAAATGGGTCTTACCCCTGAGAAGTTTTGCACAGAACTGAGCTATAATGAAGCAGGCATTATACTCAAGGTACACGACACACGCAGAATTTTTGCATTCAAATGGGAAAGCAAAAGAAATGTTTGTGGGGAGCAATGGAGCCCCTGTTTTCGCAATGACTTGCTTTATCAAGGTAAATGTGCTTCCCTTTGTCCCTGCTCTCCCTGGGAAAGCAATGCAAAAGGGCTTGGGCTTTTGGGCTCCTTCAGGTGAGTTGGTGCCATGCTCAACCTGGCTCATGAAGGTCAAGTACGAGAAGGTGAGAGGGCTTCTGGCTCCCCTTTTCAATGCCCCACTCCTCCCCCCCTTGAAAAGCTGCTGCTGGTGGGGTTACTTGCACTGGCGTGCTTTCAAACTGCTAGGTTGGCATAAGCTGGGACAGACCAACGGGAGCTCGCCCTGTTTTGCGGATTCGGACTGTTGACTTTCCAATTGGCAAGCCCAAGAGGCTCAGTGGTTTTGACCACAGCACCACCCTAGTCGCCTCTTACTGGACTTAACCGTCCAGGGTGAGGTTAACTTAAAATGTGGCTGTTCAGCCCTACCTCCAAGAAACAATTCTTGACCATGTTAAGCTGTTTATTTATTCTGGCAAGTATTTAGTGATTGGGTTTAAGGAGGACACTCTGTTAAGATTGGATTGCTTTTAAGGTATTTTGTATTTAAATGTTTTATTTGCTCAAGTGTTTCATATGCTGCCTTTAAATATTGTTAGCAGCCCTAACCTTTGAGGATAAAAATTTTAAAAATCTAATTATTTATCTAGAATGATATAAAGAGATAAATTTATTTTTTTGGTCTAAAAAATGTATTAGTTTTATGTATGTGCACGTGTCAGGAATTTTAAGTTTATATAATGAGCAGCAGCTAAACCATCATATAACATATGTTCCCCATCCAGTCCCAATATATATACTTGTTGTCACGCACTGTTGTATTTACTATGTCCTACCATTTATAATATGTAAATGTATAGCTTACTAACAGAGAGAGAGAAAGAAAAAGAAAGAAAGAAAGAAAGAAAGAAAGAGAAAGAAAGAAAGACAAAAGAAGCAGAGTTTTAGGCTATGGATCAGTCTAAGGATTTTATTCACTTAATATAAGCAGCAATGAAAGACATAAAAATGGTACTTTGCAATAAATAAATACACAATGACAAAGGTTACCATTGAAGGGATTACAAATGACAGAAGCCAACATAAAAACTTTCAATATCGGAATTTTACTTTAATATGAAGACATTGTTATCAAAGGAAAATACTCAAGAAACGCTTTGATAAAAATAATCTCACACTATCTTTGAAGCGGTTTCATTTATTTTACTACCCACTGTGTTCCTTATCAGAAGGCCAAGTATAAGAAGTTTCCTAGTTTATGATTAGGAAGGAATCTGATAGATTAGAAGACTCAATTGAAGTTGGACATAATAAGTATTAAAGTATTACATGACATTAATCCTGCCATTCCATTACTCTCTCAATCATTGTGCACAGACTAATTATTCTGAAGCCCGTGTTCAGGAGAAAATAGAAACATACTTACACTGGGTTGGAGTAATCTCTTTATTGCATCCACAAGGCTAGCTCTGTACTGGTCCAGAAACAGGCTGACATTGAGAAGAGAACAGAATCCAGATTAAAAAGGGGTTTCAGTTCTAATGATACTAATGCAGATAAGTACAAGGCTAATTACATATGTTTACACATTGCTGTGAAGGAGAAATTGAGGTCTAAATTCCTTCCAGTTCATGCACTTTTTAAACAAGAAAACAAACAAACTCTGAATTCTTGTAACCATTTTTTTGTCCAAAGCTCAAGGCAGAAAGGTCAGCCAGAAATGTTTTGCTATGCAACAAGAATAAATGGTGGGTGATTAGTGTTTTTTATTTTATTTTAAGCAGATGGCATATTAGAAATCAGAATCAATACAATAACATAAGGCAAGAGTAGCATTTCACATGTTCTTTCAGGAGGGCAAATGAACAGCAGAACAAAGCCCTCCTGCTTTTAAAAATAGAGTTTTAGTGGACTGTTTTAAAAAAATTCTGTGCCAACTTAAAGTCCTAAAAAAGACTCCCTGTGTGATGGGGGGTGGTGTAGGTGACATTTTTTAAATCAGCAATATACCAGGAGAGAGCAACTTGATAAAAACAAACTCAGCAAAATGCATTACTTAGGCTCCACAGAAGAAAACTCTCCCCACATAATTGGGCTCTCATTACAATTTTAGCCAGTTTAGCTAGGGAGTTTATTTATTCATTAAGGCATGTTCATACTGCAAGGCATCCCCACTGAAAAGGCTCCATTCCTTGTAGCCATCATGGAATCATTGCAGCCATCAGATTTGGTATTTGTGGGGCTAGGCTGGTCTGGATGAGTCATAGAATCATAGAATTGTAGAGCTGGAAGGGACCCTGAGGGTCATCTAGCCCAACCCCTTGCAATGCAGGAATCCTGTCCACAGCCGTCCCTGGGTGGGCTCAAACCACCAACCTTCTGGTTAACAGCCATAGGCACTGACCCATTGTGCCACAGGAGTACTATTAAAATCTCATTTTTGAAACAGAATTCCACTATGTTCTACCTGAGGAAAAAAATAATATCAAACAGGAGCACATCAACCTTCTTTCCGATATTATCAGCTTGCTTCAGACTTGTTGTGGTGGGTCTTTTGGATAAGGCAGAGCATTAAGCAGGACTATTAGTTCCTTAGCCAATATGCCTCTGAACTACCATAAGAATATAAGAAAAGCCCTGCTTTTTCAGGCCAAAGGCTCCTCTAGTCCAGCATTCTGTCCCCCCAGTGGCCAGCCAGAAATCCAGAGAAAGCCTGTAAGCAGGACCTGGGTTCCACACTGCCTTCCTTTGATTGACAGCAACTGGTATTCAGAGACATATTGCCTTTGATAGTGGAGGTAGAACACAGCCATCATGGCTAGTACCAGGTGATGAGGAACAAAAGTGGGAGAGGGCTGTTGCATCTATGTAGACTTTTGGGATTCCCAGCGGGATCTGCTGGGCCACGGCTTGAAACAAGATGCTAGGCTAAGTAGTCCTTTGGTCTGATCCCTATCCTATGAAATCACTGGCCCTGTGATATGACTAATAATTTGTCACATCTATGGAACAAGACAAACCAAGATGTAGGTGCTGGTTCCTTGTTTGCAGACATCCATTTTACTCTGGCTTATAAATGAATGAATGGTAAAGTCTTTTCTGTTGTAGAAGCTTTATGTTCGTTACCACTGTAATGTGACGAATGCTCTGTCACTCCATGTGCACTCAGGCTACAGGAGAGCCACTAGAGGTACGTCTACCAGTTTTGCTTTCACAAGACATATGTTAGCTTCAAAAAAGGGAACATATCATAACTTTAAATGCCCTGGGCTTAGCATATTTCTTCCCAGCAAGAATATTCATTCTCAGAAGGCATCAGGACTAAATGCTGTTATTCTTGATGGCAAAAGAGCTTCACCAGCTGAATAAGAAAGTTGGGGAATGTCAAAAAGCTACACCAGTGGCTCTACCGAATTTGTGAAAGTTGACATACCCCCCTATCCCTGGCCCCCAACACAAAAGATGCAAGGGATGTGTTGAGGTTGCTGCATGCAGGTATATGAAATGGCATCTGGAGGATATGTGTCAGTTGACCCTTTAAACTGCAGAGGACGACATTCCAGAAAAGGCAGCGAGAACACATGCCATTCTCTGTTGAATCCCACATATTTTGTACTATTGTCTGCAAAATACTGCACGCATCTCTGGAGCATGGATACATGTTTATATTTTATAAGCTATCATGTCAAATCTTTTTATTTTGCATGTAATGTGACAGCCAAGTATCACAGTTTATGGCTGGTGGTACAGACATGATTTCCAGTTGTTCACTCTTCATTGTCATTTACAGTTTTGCACAGCTTCAGTAAACAGCAAAGCTGTCATGCACTGAAACACATTTATTGTGGGTTGGGGGAGAGCGCTTACTTCCAGACCATCAGTTTTTGATAAAAACTGAAAACGAGCGGGGGGAAACTAGATCTAAATAAACAATGTTATTACTCCAAAACACAACAAGCTGCCGCCTACATTCTTAGTGCAGTCTTATCAATATATAGACAATATGCAGTTGGTGCCAATTTCAGGGAGAACTTTGAAAGGAATTCAGAAATGGAATTTATGTGTGCAAATTCTGTAGCTGCCCCTGTCTGGAAATGGATGGACTGGTGCCTGAAATAAATATACCTGCCATCCACACAAAGCGATAAAGATACATTCTTCAATAAAATGACGTTGATTCCCCCCACTGCAAATTTATCCTTGCCACCCAGGTGATTTTTTTTCTTTTTAAAGCAAGATGTCATTGTCTTTAATTTTCTAATAACTTTGAAGCACAGCCTTCAAAGCTATTGTCGTCCAGCACTATTATATTCCATCCTAAGAAACCTAAACTCCTCAGTCGCATGTGGTACAACAATGGAGGCAGCTGGAACCCCATTCTTAGATGTCAGCATCTTGGGTGCTATATGGAAACAGTGTTTGTAAGGCAGTGCCACAGATATCTGTATATAAGCATGAAATATTTTAATAATAAGCAAAAAAACAATAATGATGGTGAGTGCTAGCTCTTATGGGACAGGTGCATAGGATTTAAATAATGCTAGTTCCTTAGTTAAAGCTATGGTTTTCCCAGTAGTTATGTATAGAAGTGAGAGCTGGACCATCAAGAAGGCTGATCGCCAAATAATTGATGCTTTTGAATTATGGTGCTGGAGGAGACTCTTGAGAGTCCCATGGACTGCAAGAAGATCAAACCTATCCATTCTGAAGGAAATCAGCCCTGAGTGCTCACTGGAAGGACAGATCCTAAAGCTGAGACTCCAATACTTTGCCACCCCACGAGAAGAGAAGACTCCCAAGAAAAGACCCTGATGCTGGGAAAGATGGAGGGCACAAGGAGAAGGGGAAGACAGAGGACGAGATGGTTGGACAGTGTTCTCAAAGCTACCAACATGAGTTTGACCAAACTGCGGGAGGCAGTGGAAGACAGGAGTGCCTGGCGTGCTCTGGTCCATGGGGTCATGAAGAGTCAGACACGACTAAACGTCTAAACAACAACAACAACAACAGGACAACTCTGCTTGCCTACACACAGCATCCGGTGAGCCTCTGTGGCCAACAGTAACCAGAGATGCTAGTGTAATTCATGCAGTAGTGGCCGGTGAGGAATGGCTCCATCACCATGTACTGCACCACACCAAGTCCCCCCAAGCCCCACCCCTCTTGGCAAGTGATAGAAACCCACTGTGCTGGGAAGCTGGGAGAATGAAGGCAGGACTGGGAAGCTGCGAATGAAGGCAGGAGTGGGCGACCTTTGGCCCTCCAGGTGTTGCTGAACTACAGCTCCCATTATCCTTGGTCATCATCATCATCATCATCATCATCATCATCATTATCAACTTTATTGCACTAGCCAAAGGCCATGGCATCATTCACGAAGTGAACAAAAGGAAAAGCAACAATAACCATAAAAACCATAAAAATATCAGGCACTGCAGATATAAGAAACCATGATCATGTCTCCTAAAAATTATTTGTTGCATACGATAGAATAGCAATGGCTTCTCAGGCAGGATGTGCCAGCGTAAATGTCCGAATCACCTTTGCAATTGACAGCTATTTTATCTAGTTCTTTTCTCCTGATCTTCTTAGCTGCCAACGCATATAGTGCTACTTTATAAGTTACAAAGTCATCAGTATCACTCAGCGGCCATTTCATCATCTCCACCCTGTTCGAGTGTGTTCCATTCGTGAGCAGAGGTTTTATAAATCGGTCTCTTGGTTCTAGATATAGAGGGCACCATTATCCTTGGTCATTGGCCACACTTGCTGGGAAATGGGCTCCGGCAACACGGGACCCTGGCATAAGGGTAACATGTTAGGTTTGCCATTGACGATTGTGGCTACCATATGATAAATGAATTGTGTTAACATGGCTCATTTACTTCTCATTACTATCCCTTCTCTAACTGTTGGAGGAACCAGATGCCTCCTTGGTGTTTGCTCTCTCTGTAACTGGACATGTGAACTTGCCCTGAAAGTTAGTATTCCTTTCACTCTGTGTTTTCACTGACACACTCAGTGTAAAAGAAGCGCACAATACGTGCACACTAGTGATCTAGCTTATCCAAGATGACTGGTGGGTATCTTCTGATTTTTCTGTTATTTTGATTCTGTTCTTTTCTATTAGTATGCTGTTCAGGGCCTTGGGGCCAAAAAATCGGTATAGAAATAAACCATAACCCAACATTGACTTTAATGCTGCCTCATATTTCCCTTAAATTTCTGTTCAAGCACTGCTTCACAATTATTTTTAATTGTGTCCTTACACACACACACACACACACACACACAGAGACAATTCCAGTAGCTAACCACTATTGAGCTTGCCTCTGATTTCTTTTATAACCTAAAGGATATGTAATAATACACTATTCATATATTCTCAATCCTTGAATACAATGTGTTCAAATGACTGAATGAAAATATATGGATGATTTAAGAGTTTAAACATAGCACTACTCTTCATAATCATGTATATTTTTAGCTGAAACTCAGTATGAGTTTGAAACATGTTTATGAATGGAGCTTGTTTTCTTGTAAATGGAACCAAGTAGTGCCAATGTTTAGTTATTCAGAGAATTATACAATGCCACCTTTACTAGAAATAGTGCAATGTGAACTTGTCATTCTACTTAACATTTGAACACAGGTTTCTGCTTTGTTCTAATTACAGATCTTAATGACTGACAATGATCTGGGTAATATTATTACACCCATGTTGCTAACTCATTGTATTTATTTTGTTTTTATCCCACTTACTGAACATCTTATAATATTACAAATATTTAGAGTGAAAATATCATTCAAGTGATTCTTTATTTGGAAAGAAAGTGAGCATGGATATGAAGCAGACTAAATATTAACACAACTCAGCAGCCCAAATAGTTCATCACACTGTAAATGAAGATGAAGAAAAAAGGAAAGGAAAAAGTGTTATTTTATGCTTATTAAACAAACATGGAGGTACACTTGCATTTTACCTCGGGCCAACAAAATAACCAGTGTTTTTTAAGAAATCTGTGTTCCACATCTCACATTCATTTGGCTGTTAGTGAAAATGTTTTATAAATTTGCTTTCTGCTTATATATGGTTCAGTGTAAACAGAGCCAACGCGATATGTGTTTTCTATGTCTGGCGAGTGAATGTGTATTTAATCTATTAAGCACAATCCTTTGTTTTCTAATGAGACAACAATAAATCTACCCGTATGGCCAGCAATTTACCCACAGGATGAGAGGAATAAACTGGGGGAGAGTAGTAAGAGTTAAATCTTGCTCGCTCTGCTATTCTCCATAGTACAAATAGGATAACACGGTGTGAGAATTAGGAATATAAGAGATGGCATGGCCAGGTTGTTTTGATATTTGTGTGAAGAACAAATTTAACTCTAAATCTCTTGGCAAGACCTTGCTTCACCCACATAATCTGGAGAACATCCATATGCGAGCCTTGTCTAAGCCTCCGAGAAGACTGCTGCCCTCCTGCTCATGTCCGCCAGCACTCTGATCTGACTTTCATACTTAATCTGATCTAATCCTGTCCAGCATTAACTTCATCTGTGCAATGAAACCTAGAGTATCCATTCTAATATTTGGTGAGGAAGGCATTTACTAAATTACTTGCTGAAATCATATGGTGTTGTTTAGCTCCTTATTTTAATCAGATGATGCATCTCTGAGGCACATTACCAGTGATTAGTTAGAAACCCATGTCTGTCCTTTTTGGGAACAAAGAACTTTTCTGAAATGCAACGCAACGGGAAGAGAAACCTTATTTCATTCACTGGGAAGTCATAAAAGAAGAAAAGAAAGGACAAAGAAATACTTAGGAAGCATTAGAAAGAAACATAAATATTTCATTCAGAGAAGTATTGCCAAATATTTAAAAGCATGTGTCTAGCTTATGAGTTAGTTCCACATATTAGGACACAATGGGAAGGTAACCTTTAGTTTAATCATTTCGATTCAGACGTCACTTAGACTGAACTATCTTGTGGAACAATAATTAATTTTTTTATAAAGGTCTGCATAATGATTATGTACGTATGTTTTATTTTGCATACTTTCTGCATCCTACTGAAGTCAATAGCTGAACTCTCACTGATTGCTACAGATCTAAATCATGCTCTCCTATGATAACATACAGCTAAGAAAAGCTGTATACATGAAGTTATATTTATGTAAAATATATATCTTTAAAATACACTTTATAACCTTATGGGAAACATTGTGCAGTTTATATAACTGGGTGCGTCAGCAGAATTTTTAAAATGTAATTTATATTCAGCTAAATCTACCTAGATGCTTGAATATATACAGTCAAACATTATTCTGTAACTTGTCAGTCAATCAAATATGTGTGTGTTTTTCTCAGATTTCTTTTTATTACAATTAATGTACTATTAATTCAAACATCTCAATGTCACTTAGATGATGCATATTATTACTTTTGTTTGGCAGATTTGAGAAACGGGGGGAAATATCCCCCAAAGATTTACTGGGGAGCACAGACTATATATCCTCTTATATCAATAGTCAGATCTTTCCTAAGAAGTAAGCTAATTGAGCTGTTTGTGTTGATAAACTCCCTTTTCTCCAGACTGTTCCTCACTGAGCCATAATTATTTGCAATTTGCCTAAGTCGTCCATTTACTGATACGTCAAGCATGAAACAGAGGCAATTCCAGAAAATGGAAATGCTTCTCAAAATCAATCTTTGGGAAATAATGTGGTAGAAGTTACTGTGTGATAGAAGACTACCTTATAACTGTCACATGGAGATGAATATTAATTTGTTGAGGTTAAGGTGGCTTTGTGCTTCATTTGTTGACTTTGCTTAGCCATCAGCAAGCAGCACAGCACAATTACTCCAGCAAAGCTTCCCCCCACCTAACATGAGTTTTATGATTTTTTATGTACTTACCAGTCAGCACACATAACAATGTCAAAATGTCCTTCCAGTTGAGAGACATCTGTCTCATTATCCCATCGTAGAATGCTAGAGAAAGAAGATTTTTAAAATTAGACTTACATGTTTTCATCTTTTTGCATTTCCTCCCCTTTAAAAAAGAAAAGCATTTACACTTTTTGGCAAAGGACGTGAATAGTCGTTCTGTTAAAAGTACATACAGATAAATTATAAAAAGTGCAGCTAAAAAGACTACACTAGGCATCTCCTTTATGGTTTACATCTCGAAGCAAGAGAGTTACATCTTTATATAGTCAAAGGCAGCATCAAAGGTTCTGCATTATAAACTGAGAACTAAAACGTAAAATAGGCTTATAGGTTTCGGCCCTTTACTCCTGTAGATTAATTGAAAAGGAATATAGGGGAATCAAGTGTGGCTTATTGAATGGAAACACACTTTTGCAAACTGAAAAGGCATTGCGTGCTCTGCTCTCTGTTGCATCCGACAGGCAAGTCAGTTGAGTTTCTCACACATGAAGCAACTATATCCTTGTGCTTGTGGGGAGGAGGGAAAGGGTGTAAGAAGGCTCAGGCTTCACTTCTGTGCCAACTATTTTGCTACTGACAATCTTTACAATACGCAGTTACAGTCAACTTTTGCTCTATGATATTATTTAATTCCAAGATCTGTGCTATTAGCTGCTCTATTATGTTATTTAATCCTAATATCTGTAATACCGTATTAGCAAATAAAACATTTTTAGTATTTGGTTTCCAAATAAAGAAGCTTTATAACCAGAAGTTGTTGTTGTTGTTGTTGTTGCTGCTGCTGCTGTTGTTGTTGTTGTTGTGTGTGTGTGTGTGTGTGTGTGTGTGTGTAATATCGAAGAAAGTGCTGTCTTTCTACCAGTGCGGTCCAAAATGCCTATTCAGAAGTAAGCCCAAATACGTTCAAGTGGGAGTTTCTCTGCATTAAGTATGCTTGTGATTGCAGCATAATTTTCTTCTTCTTATACAACTGCTTGCCTCGTTATCAAGGTAGATAACTTATTTTCTACTTGCAGACATAGAGATGCATAAACAGAAGGCAGCGATGGGTTTGTCAGTTTGTACATGGTTATCGCTGTTCTGTGAACGTTCGTTTTCTATTGGCAACAAGCTGCTCCTGGTTAAAAGTAATCTCCCAAAGTCACACAGGGTGATTTATGTCTATGATTTACTTATAATATCCTCCTGGTGGTGGAATGGGTCTTATCATTTGGCAACGTGTGCAATAGACATGGAAGACAAAAAGGGTATCATGTATAGCCCTTGAAAACAGCAGAACCATACATATTGCATGCACACACACACACACACACACACACACACACACATATATATACAAGTAATTCTGTAAAGGTGTGGAATGTAAATAATAATAATAATAAAAAGAAAGAAAGATATCTAATAAAGCAAAAGTCAATTCCGCAATTCACCTTTTCTGGAATGTATTGTGCCAATCGCAGGGTGAAAAACAGTAGGTTAATTTAATCACCTCTTCCCCCACCCCCAGCCCAAACACACACACACACACACACACACACACACACACATACACTTTCACTCCCATTTAAACTCTAAATGGGGTGCAAATTTTAGAAATCTAGGTGGCTTTGCAAACTGGCACTTTCAGTGCTCAGCATGTATCCACTAGTGGAAAGTGACAAAGGAGAGTTCTCACTCTCAGCTGCCGGCTGCCTGCTGGCTACTGGCGGCTTTTTCAACCCTGTTTCCGTGGAAACTTAGGTTACAACAGTGAAAATTAGGTAAAGGTAAGTTGGTGGGGTTGTTAGCTCTCATTTGATGATTTTTTTTTCTTTTTTAAGAATCCTGAAACAGCAATGGCAGTTGGCAGTTGAGCTTCAAAGACCATCACTAGTCCTTCATTCCACTGAAAGAAATCCAATGGAGGCAAACAAGGACTTAAAGAACCATTTTTTAATGTGACAGGACTTGTGTTTATTATTGTTATTGTTCTTATTACTGTATTATTAAACTCCTGATTATTTGCTGCTGCAAACAAACAAACAAATATATTTATTTGTTTAATTAAATTTATACCCCACCCTTCCTCTCAAAGGGGTCCAGGGCAGCAAACGTATTGGTCATGAAAATACAGTGAAAATTAAAAGGGAAAATATATTTTGAACATTTAAAAACTGTTAAAAACGACGAAACACAATTGTGTGTCTGAATAGGCCCTCTGAAAAAGAAACATTTTAGTCAGATATCTTAAAGAATACACTAATGGCGCCTGCCTAATGTCAATATATTGACACTCAAGATTGCTCAGTGAGGAATCAAACCTATAGGAGGGTCTCCTGTTCCTAGAACAGTTGGTGTAACTTCCCATGCTTGGCTTAGCTGGGGCCTTGCTGGGTGAGCCAAGCCCAGCAGATCGTAGGCCAGTGTAGGCTCCAAAAAGGGGGGCATTCAAGGGAGGGAAATTAGGCTGGATCCGAAACCTGTTCGCTTCAGCCATGTGAACTGAGAACAGGGCCGACCCATCCATGAGGCAGACAGAGGCAGCTGAATCAGGCGGCAGAATCCAAGGGGTAGAATATATGGGTGTTACTCTCCAACATTATCAGCTTTCTTCAGAGTGCTTACACATGTTTTTGGCTAATCAAATTGCAGCATATTGTTTAATTTAAAATAATTTGAACACCACTCATCATTTTAGTGACACCAAAGCGATCTTCCAAATTCAGACAAAATGCGGCAGAATCAAAACACATTAAAACATTAAGCCACTGTAATTGTTAGGTGGCATTGTAGCTGGTTGACTGACCGAACCCAAAAAGTGCTCATTAATGGTTCCTTGTCATCCTGGAAAAAAGTGACAGATGGGGTGCAACAGGGATCTGTCATGGGCCTGTAGTTGTTCAACGCCTTTAAAATGGCTTGGAAAAAGGAATTGAGGGGATCCTCATCAAATTTGCAGATGACACCAAACTGAGAGGGGTGGCTAATGCCGTAGAAGATAGAATTGGGATTCAAGATGACCTTAGTTTAGAGAACTGGGCCTAAACTACCAACATGAATTTCAATAGGGACAAATGTAAGGTTCTATACTTACGTAGGACAGCAGCATAAATGGGGGACACCTGGCTTCCCAGTAGCACATGTGAAAAGGATCTAGGGGTCTTAGTAGACCACAAGCTTAGCACAAGTCCACCGTGTGATGAAGCAGCAGCAAAATAAAAGCTAATGCTTTTCTTGGCTGCATCAACAGTAGTATCCAGATCAAGGGAAATAATAGTACTGCTCTATCCTGCCTTGGTCAGACCACACCTGGAGTACTGTGTCCAGTTCTGGATATTGACAAACTAGAACATGAGTAGAGGACAGTGACCAAGATAATCAAAGGACTGGAAACCAAGCCTTATGAGGAACAGCTGAGGGAGTTGGGTATGTTTAGCTTAGAAAAGAGGAGACTGAGAGGAGATATGAGAACCATCTTCAAATATCTCAAGGGCTGTTATATGAAAGATGGAGCAAGCTTGGTTTCTCCTGCTCTGGAAGGTAGGACCCGAATCAATGGATTCAAGTTACAGGAAAGGAGATTCCCACTAAACATCTAGAAGAACTTTTTAATGGTAAGAGCTGTCCCTTAAGAGGTTGTGGACTCTCCTTCCTTAGAGGTTTTTAAGCAGAGGTTAGATAGCCATCTATCATGGATGCTTTAGCTGAGATTCCTACATTGCAGGGGGTTGGACTAGATGATCCTTGGAGTGACTTTCAACTCTACAATTCTAGGATTCTAAGATTCCATCCACTATAGTCAGCAAAGCTGGAAATTATCCCAAGCTGAGAATTATTACCTAGCAAACACCTCAATAAACAGCTAGGTCTTTTTAAAGCAGGCATCAAAAGTTGATCACAGCTGGGCCTGCCTTATTTTTGAGGGCAGGGAGTTCCATTCGTCCGGTGCCACCATAGGAAATACACCCCCCGGGTTTACTATATAGTGTGCCTCAGCTAATAGCACCACCACCAGGAGAATAGCCTCTGGGCATCACAGTTGAAAAATAAAATAAAATTGGACAATTTATATGCCACTTAAATTTTAACAAATCTGTAAACAGTACCCAATCCAAGTTTATGTCCCCCACTACCCAGTTTATGTTTGTGTGTATCTACATTTGTGGTTTTTATTGCTTGGTTGGAGGGTTGCCTGTTTGGGGTGAGGCTCCTGCCTTTTTAATTTCTCTTATGGTGGGGGGGAGACACAGTGCTTTCCCCATGTTGGTTTTTTTGCAGGTCAGTTTTGACAGTTTTTCTTCTGTGAATTGGGTATTTTGTGATACCCTTGACAGTTTCTGAGATTTCCAGATTTCCAAGTTGCAAATATTTTACCCTGTAAATTAAATATTGGGATCCACACAATGAAGATAGAAGGTTATATCCAACACTGCTGTTCTGCTGGCACAACAGACCTCTGCTTCTGCAACAGAACTTCCTTCTCCTTTCTGCTCCTGCTCCCTGTAAGACCTCTGATCTTAACAAAGGGGCAATTCTATACGGAACAGTAATTTCTTCATATAGTCAGACCCCATGTTCTTATATGTTAGCAAGAGCACCTTGAATCTGGCTTGGTAGCACACTGAAATATCTAAACTTTTCAATGGGATTTCTATTTTGAGAAGAACTGAAATAATATGTCACACCACAAAAACTAAATCTAAAGTATCTGGATCAAATACTTGAAATGAAGTTATTATTCTGATCCACTGTTTTCTAGACATTCAGCACACACACACACACACACACACACATCTTCAACTTCCAGTATATTGATAAAGTACTGTGGCTCAAAAGGTACTGAGGGTTTTTATTGTTTTTAAATAAATCTCTCTCTGTTCCCTTCTATCACCTGTTCTTCTCTTATATCCTTGCTTAGCTTAAAAAGACAAGGATACTCAGGATATGAGAAAGTGGAATCAGAACCCAGAGGGGGTCAGAGAGGGAAGATTGTTGACATTCTTAGCCTGTTTTCTTGGTTGAGGCACCAGATTCAAACCAAGGAACAGTTTAGATGTGCTTAATGAAGTGGTATTGTACTTGAGGGTTCATTTGAAATTGCCCTTCAAGTATATACCAGATTAAAATGACTAGATCAAGCCAGAAAGACTCTTACTGATGACAGTGCGAAGCTAATGCTTTGAGAAGAAGTACCTTGAGAATTAATGTTTGATTTTATCTGTAGCCTTCCACACCCTGAACTCTTGTACCAGGTGATAAGGCTAGCATGTGCCTATTTTACTTCTGCCACCTTCTGGCAGAACAATGTTCTCTCCATATATATTGGTAGTTTTCACTGAGGGGGAAAAACAAGCTCTTCAGCATCAGGTAGATATGATGGCAACTTGGGGGAGATGACTTTCTTCAGGCAGGATGAACGCCCTATCTGTTTAACACAGTGCACTTAAGACTCATTCAAATGTGCAGAAACAGTACCATGTACAGTCCTTGTTGGGTTGCACAATTGCTGGAGACAGGGAAGGACCATGAAATAAAGTAGATGGCTAGGCTAAGACCATTCTCTCTGTTTGCTTTACGTTTGCAAGGAGAGGGACTGCAGACGGGGGCAGAGCACATGTTTCACATGCCAAGGTTCCCCAGGTTCAATCCCTGGCAACTTCAGATTAAAGGGATGAAGCAGCAGGTGGTGGGAAAGATTGCCACTTAACAACCTGGAAGAGTAAAGATGATATTGGAATATGGGTTTACACCAACTCAGAACATTGGTCCGTCTAGCTCAGGACTGTCTATGGTGGCTAGCAAGAGCTCTCCAGGGTTACTGAGGAGAATACAAAGATGCACAACTTTATATCTCCACGCACCAGGAAAGGCTGTTCACAGAACCCTGGCATCCTTTAGAGGGACAGAATAGCATTCCAGTAGCAAAGTGACCCATGACGCCTTGAATATTGACAATATAGTGACCATACAGGAACAAACTGTGTGACACACCTTCTCAGACCGTATGCGTCATGAACTTTGCAGCTGGTATACAGGAAACTGCATCATCCCAGTTGCTATGTCTGTCCCCTGTGCTGACAGACTAAGCCAGTCCAAGGCAATCCATTATGGGACTTGACAAGGTCACTGTGCCTGAGATATCATCCAACTTGGTGGCACCCCATATGCATTTTATTTGCACCACTCTACCTATCACCAAGTGGAGGAGATTCTAAGATTGTTAGGAAGCTGCTTTTTACAGAGTTGGACTATTGGTCCATTTAAATCAGGACTGTCTACTGGCAATTGCTCTCCAGAGATGTCAGGGTTCAAACCTGCAAAGCATGTGCTCTGCTACTGAGGAGCAGCACCTTCTGTTTGGCCCTAGGAAGCTGCATTATACTGAGTCAGACCCTTGCTCCATCTAGCTCAATATTATCTACATTGTCTGGTGGCAGCTTTCCATGATTCCAGGCAGGGTGCATTCCAAGTCTCACCTGGAGATGCCAGGGATTAATCCTGGGACCTTCTGTATGCAAAGTAGATGTCCTACTACTGAGCTATGGCCTTCCAGTCTATCACTGGTCTTCACTTCACTGTGTAACTTTCCAAGGACTTTCCAAGGACATCTAAAGTTACACATTATTTCTCATTAATAGGGTATCCATTTCCCCCCAAGTACCGGTACTTAGAAATCTGAAGTCCGGTTCCTGTAGATCTTCAGTTGCATTACCAAGAAATCTTAAATGCTCCAGTGGTAGGATAAAATGAGATTATGACAATATCCTGTATATACTCTGAGAATAAGGGGTTTATTTTTATCAGGTACAGTTCTGTGCTTTGTTTAGAGTCAGGCAGTCTACTGCTTTCTTTGACCTTGATATCAGCACCTGATTTACACCCAGGGCTACTGGAAAACTGTTCAACCTCAGATGTTCCGATTATTGTGCCTTGGCTGCCAATTCTCATGGGCAATATTCAAGTCATCATGGGTCACTTTGCTACTGGAAAGCCCACAGTGATGACAAATCTCCAGCAGAGTTGTGAAACTTAGCCTGGCCTTTGGAAAGGTCATCATAAAGGCCTTTGGGAGAAGGTGAGACAAAACTGGCTGTGAAATTGGAAACACAACTTCTTTACGCTTTCATGTATGGTCACTAAGGTTAAATACCTTGACTAATTCCATCATAGGTGCTTTGAAATTGTGAATATAAAGTAGGCAACCTATAGATAATGAAATGAAAAGGCACACTAGAATTCGACATAATTCCTGTGACAGGCACATGGAACCCATGAATACTTTCCAAAATTTTAATCAATGGCGGGATCATTGCATCATTGACAAATAAAAAAAGAAATTGTTTAGTTAATCATAATAATTTTGCACAGGTATAGGATGAGGGAAACCTGGCTATATATGAAAAGTATATTGGGTTTGTAGTCGACCACAAGCTGAACACGAGTTAGCAGTGTGATGCAGTGGCAAAAAAGGGCTAAAGCAATTTTTAGCCAGCATTAATAGTACCATAGTTTCCCAAACATGGGAAATGAGAGTTCAACTTTACTCTGCACTAGTCAGACTTCATCTGGACTTTGTCTTCATGTGAACTGTACTCTTTTTGGTGCCTGCTAAAATCATTCCTGTTTAGATGAACCTACTTAGAAAGTTGAGATAATTTTAGTCTGTTTTAGTATTTTAAAGTATGGTTGCGAATTTTTCCTGATTGATCTGTTTTATTTTTTGTAAACCGGCTTTGAAGTTTTTTGTATTTTTTAAAGAACACAATCAAACATTGTATAAATTTTATGAAATTGATAAGTAAAAAAGAAGGCTCCATGGAGGGAGTGTGTAGAGGAAGGCAGGCATCTTGCCAGTAGACGCAGCAGCAGCAGCAGCAACCTGTTCAGCAGCAGTCTTAGTCAGACCATCCATCTCTGATGGAGCCAAGAGGAGGAGATGGTTGGAGCAGCACCTGCAGGCTGGGTTTCCCCTATGGGAGATTCGAGATGAACCCACAGTGGGCGCCAGGGAAGCCTCCTGGAAATGGCATGAGGATGCCTTGCTAGGCGGCTTGGGACCCTGTGGGTGCAAATCCTGCTTCTGCCTTCCATCCTGGGCAGAGCAGGAGATCAGAACCACCCACAGGAGAGAGGGGGGGAGTTCGGTTCCAGAAAGAATGGGAAAAACCCGATCACAGAGAGGGCAAGAGAAGACCAGGACAGTAAAGTGCCTGCTTGAAGGGCAATCCCTCCAATATCTTCCAGATGTAAGTGAGAAAGATAGTGTGGTCAGCGGCAGAAGAAGGAGCCTCTGGGCACAAGCTGAGAGGAGGCCCAGGAAGTGAAGGGCTACTCCTCTCAGCACTCAGATAATAAGGCTAGAGAAGCCACCCCACTGAAATTCGACTGCAGGCGATCCTACCCTGAATAAAGGGTGGGAAGTATCCTGGGCTCTCTCGTAGAAAGGTGGGTGGGGAAAGAATCCCCCAACAGTTAAGGTAACTAGAGGATGTAGGGGGAAGGCATAACGTGTGATGTAATGCGAGGATTAATAAAATGTTTAAAGAAGCATAATTGGCCACCTCTCTTTTGTATTTTGTATGAGACATATGGGCCATAACTGTTTGAAAGCACTCCACCCCCACCCTGAGTCTTACACTCCTATACACAGACATGTGCTTGGCAGGCATTCAACATAAAATATAATAAAGGTAAAGGGACCCCTGACCGTTAATTCCAGTTGTGAACGACTCTGGGGTTGCGGCGCTCATCTCATTTTACTGGCAGAGGGAGCTGGCGTTTGTCCGCAGACAGTTTTTCTGGGTCATGTGGTCAGCATGACTAAGCCACTTCTGGTGAAACCAGAGCAGCGCACGGAAATGCCATTTACCTTTCCATCAGAGCGGTACCTATTTATCTACTTGCACTTTGACGTGCTTTCAAACTGCTAGGCTGGCAGCAGCTGAGACCGAGCAACAGGAGCTCACCCCGTTGTAAGGATTCGAACTGCTGACCTTCCAAGCGGCAAGCCCAGGAGGCTCAGTGGTTTAGACCACAGCGCCACCCGCGTCCCCTATAAAATATAAAATATAGTACTATATACTATACTATATACTATACTATACACTATAAAATATAGTAGGGCAACCTAAATAGGGACCTTGGTATTCAGGGAACAAAAGGCTATTGTTGATACTGTTTCTCCAATATTCCATGTACAACCTACACAGAAGTGTAAGAATGGCAGAACCACCAACAATTTTTTAATTGTGGAAGACGCAGGCACCTGACTGTAGCAATGTAACTGAAAACCTGACAGGGGTTCCACTCAGAGAGGATAAATCCTAGCTACCAAACAGATATATCTAGTCATAGAGCTCAATTCTGTAGCAGAGAACATGTTATTTTAGGGATACAAATATGTGCAGCAATGATTTGAAAATATAGCCAAGGCCTAGGTTTCAAGGGAACCATTATCTGTTTACACAACTTTGAGTAAGACCACTCACTAATTGAAAATATGGTTCAACTCATTTGGTTGGGGAAAAGCTCCTGTTAATTTCAGTAGAAATTGCCTGCAAGTATATATGTTTCAGGTGGAGAGAGTTATAGATACAACGATATAGAAATAAAATAGTGAAATGGGTAAAAGGATGTTAGTCAAAATTTATATTGGCACAATTCAAACTGTTTTATGGTAGCATAGCACAGAGTATGCTATAAATAGTTTTTATTGATATGAAATATTTGAATGGGAATCTATAGGTACCAAAATGAGAAAGACCAATGAGCTCTATATTGCAGTACAACATGGCACATCTTTCTGTAATTAAATTATTTTATGCAGAGAAGGAAGAAAATGCTATTGCACTCAGCAAGTTAAACACTTGACATTTCCATCACAGAAAATGCAACATTTTAGAAATCTAGATATGTTTATTAATTAGTGATTATTAACACCCAGTAAACAACATTATGTCTTGTAAAAACACAATCTTTCTTCACAGCATGGAGCTGAAATCTATTATTCACTGATTCCATATGCTGAAATACACTCAAATGATCACAAATGACCTTAAACATTAGATAAATGTAAATGAGGACATTGTTGAAAATGTGCTTTTGATTGATATCTAAAAGACCAGGTTGTAAATCTTGACAAGAGATGAAGTCTTGCACACACTACATGGCAATTTGAAACCTACATATGGGTGTGCATGAAACAAAACAGGGGTCTGTTCACAGTGAGCTGAAATCAGAGGTGTTTAAGGTCTTAAGAAAAGCACTTATTTTGGATGCTTGGAACCTGAAATGATATGGGGTTGTACTAAGTTCGGTACATATGATAAAAAAGGAACAATTGCTTTAAGCTGCCCAATGGTTTTGCCTCCAGGTTAGAACTGAAATATTAAGTAAATGCCCATTAAAATGGGCCTAAAACAGACCTATACAACATTGGTTTTGGCTATTCCATTTAGACCCTTAACCTCAAACATCAAAGCAGGCTGCAGCTGGACTTCAACAGCCTTGCTCTAGGACAGAGAAGGTAGATTGGAACCTAAATCTTTGTCATACAAAGCAGGTGGCCTACCACTGAGTTGTGTTGCGGCCTCCAAACAAGGCAGAGAGACAAAGCAGAGGAAGAAAACATTTCCTGGCCTCAAACATGCTTTCATCTGAATCTTTTGATAGAAACGGTTCAGGAACAGTACATTACGCTCCATTCCTAAGGACCCAGATTCAATCACGAGCACCTACATTCAAAATGATCTTCAAGTAGCAAGTGCTAACCTTGGCAAGAATAGCTAATACTGACCTGGACTGACAATGGTCTGACTTAGTATACGGTAGCTTCAGACATTAATTGCTTTCTTAAACATAGATTAATTACAGTGTAAGGGCAATCCAATTCTGTCTCTAGCTGTAACAGCCCCTGAGGAAAAATAAACATGTCTAGTTTGTGGTGAATCACCTAGTAAAGGTAAAGGGACCCCTGGTCCAGTCGTGGCCAACTCTGGGGTTGCAGCGCTCATCTCGCTTTACTGGCCGAGGGAGCCGGCGTACAGCTTCTGGGTCATGTGGCCAGCATGACTAAGCCGCTTCTGGTGAACCAGAGCAGCACACGGAAACGCCGTTTACCTTCCTGCCGGAGCGGTACCTATTTTCTACTTGCACTTTGAGGTACTTTCGAACTGCTAGGTTGGCAGGAGCGGGGACAGAGCAACGGGAGCTCACCCCGTCGTGGGGATTCGAACCGCCGACCTTGTGATTGGCAAGTCCTAGGCTCTGTGGTTTAACCCACAGCACCACCCTGAATCACTTAGTAGTGTCTGCTACATACATATTTTAGTGAACGCTTCTTCACGCTCTTCACACATCCTTCAGCAGGGATACTGCTGAGTTTGATTATGGCCATCAGTGAAGTATTTATTATTATTATTAGTTGTAGTTGTAGTAGTTATTTTATTGTAGTAGCAGAGGGGGAATCCAGTGTAGGACATCTTTCACAGCAGAAGTGATGATGCTGAGGCAAAGCAAATGAGGTATTATTGAGGTTTTCAAGTTTTT